CCCTGTTTTTGGCCCCTTGTGAAGATGATATAGACTCTATACAGGCTCTCTTTGCATGGAGAGAGGAGGCACATACAGAGTTTGTGTCCAGGTAGGTCCTATCCAGACACTGCCATGCACCAGAAAAACAGGATTTAATGCCACCTGGGCCTTCGGTTTCCAAATTCTCTTGACATACTGATCCAGTAAGTACTAAGGGGGTTGCTGCATTTTCAAAATGGAATCTCAAGAAAGTTTATCACTTTTATGGTTTGGTTTGTACCTAGCAAATCTAAGAACCATGTAGTGTGAAATCTAACACCCACTGAGCCCTGCTGTCACTTCTACAACTTCTTTCCCTTCAAATCCACTGACAGCAGGCAGACCAATTGAGCTTCTCCCTTGCTTCTTTGTAATGTCGTTATCTGATGGAGGTTTTTTTTTCATTGTGAAAGCCTGCAAATGTTGTGCTTTTTTATATTGTTTAAATTGCTCAGTGGTTTAGATATCTGGCCGAGGAGCCAGAGGTTGATAGTTCAATTTCCCATTGTGCCTCTTACAAATAGAGCCAGCCTCTGTGGCCTTGGGCAAGCTGCAGAAGCCTAGGATGACCCCTGAAGAAAGACTACCTAGGAAAAGGGTCATGGCCACGAGTCAGAATTGACTTGACAGTACATTATCATCATCTTAGAACATGATGATGAATGTAAGCGTGGGGTCGTTTCTAGAAAGCAAAGGGGTGTTAGATGTTCTCAGTGAAGACGCCTGCTATGAAAGGAAAGACAAGTTGGCCTAATTACAGATACTAGTTCTGAATCTTGGAAAAGTTAGTCTTTGTAGTACAATTCCAAGAATATTGAGCCAGCAAGGCCACTGGCTGCAATACAGAGATGTATTGGCTGGGCTGGCTAATCAATTCTGGGTGTCGTGTCTCCAAAAAGCGACTTTTCCAAGCTTTTCTGGGCTTTGGTTCAAGAAAGGCCATCGGCTAATCTTCCTTCATGTAGTTCTTCCTGACAAGAAAGATGCTTTTGACACATCAAACAGCTAGTCATCATCATGTGCTGTCAAG